ACAGCTAGTACATTTTCATCAGATATGTTCTCCAGGTAGACTTGTCCTTTCATGAGTGTATTCTCTACACAGATCACTCCATCCATTCTCAGCAAGTGGTTATCCATGACAAAGCTGTAGTAGTTAACAGCGTTCCTTTGATCAGCATCAATAAAAACTATATCAAAGTGCTCATCCTCAGCATGTAATGCCTGGAGGAAAAAAAAAAAGATGTTGGAGAAAATACTAATTATTTACCTGCAATTTGAATGTCTTGGCCATTAAAGTGTCCTGTATACAAAAACTCAAATCAGAAAGAACTTCATTCTTTTAAAGTAAGATTATTAGAATTACTTCTTGGGATCTTGGGAGTTTGCTGTGCTTCAGAAAGAGTTCTTCAGCAATGCTGGTGCCCAAATCTCCAAGCCTCTCAAAGAGGATCACAGATATAAAAGAGGATCATTCACCCCAGTTTGTGGTGTTCAGAGGCACAGCAGAGACACCTGCGCATCTAGAGCCAAAGGGAATTGAATCATCAAGGTAAGGTGGAGGGCACACATGTGATTCTACAGCAGCTGAACTGCTGCAAGAAGCTATCTCTTTTGAAAAGAGTGACTATCAACAAATTCAAGAGTGGCTATTGTTGCATCAGTCTCCAGGAAAAAGAGGCATAAGGCTGATCCTGGGAATTGCAAACTAGTGAGTCCCACTTCAGTAGCAGGAGAATGGTTGAAATCCCAATTAATAATAGAATTATAAAGCATATAAAAGAACAGGTCACGATAGAGATAAAGCAGCACAGCTCCTATGAAGGAAAATGATGTTTCTTTAATCTGAAAAAATGCTTTGGATGGCTCAGCAACAGAGAGGATAAAAGAGAACTGGCTGCTATCATCTAATTGGATTTTCCGAAATGTGGCACACCTTCTCTCCAAGCAAGCTGCTGATGATAATGTATAAAAGTGTTGATGGATGACCAGATGGGAGCCTTTACAGCCTTCTCCTGTGGCAGTTAATGCACTCGCTGCCCAAGAGGCTGCTACGGAATATTTCAGATTCCATCTGGGACTATTTAACTGCATCTGTGTGTGTTTCAATGAAACAACGGTTCATCCACCTATCTTGGGCAAGCGTAAATGCTTTCAAGTCTTGGCATATTGAGTGAAAAGAGAAACAATTACGTTTTCCAGAACTCACTGTTTCTACTACAACTTTTAACAACACTCCTTGCGTCCAGATTTCCCTTTTGTGTCTGGAGACGTTTTGCACAATGAGTGATGAGCGATCCCCTGAGATGTATGAGAGAAAGCATCAATAACAAATGACAGCAGAATATAAAAAAAAAAAAATTGTTTTCAGGAGTGAGGTTCATGCCTCTCAAACAGAGATTTCAGAAACCTTTCTGAAGCAGGGAGCATGTATTTAAGAGGAGGGAGGAGAGCTAAGTAGATCATTCAAGTTCTGCTCTATTGTGAAAATTATTGTCATTGTGGGCTTGCTAGCGGTTAGGAAATGAAGCCTGCCTGGACAAACATGCTTAACTACAGATGACAGCACTGAAGCTCTGCCAAAAGCATTCATGAGTCCACATTTAGGACACTTTTTCAGACTACAGTATAATGGAAGGAGACATTAAGGCCAAATCTATACTCATTTGCAATGAACATAACAAAAACTGGGACACCTTATTTCCTGGGATTCATCTTTGCATTTCATGACCAGTAAGAAAATTTCACCCGGACTCCTCCTGG